CACATTATACAGTGGTTAGATTTATATGTCAACACCTCTATCTACATGAAAACATCAAAACCTACTGATGAGAAAAAAATCAAGTCATAGAAAATGGATTTTAAAAAAGTGGGTAAAAAAAAAGAAAGAAAATTTCCAAAACATAGAGGAAGCTCTGCAGGAGCTGGAAGGAGAGGCTGATGCTACTAGCGGCTAACTCTGGGGGTGGGGTGGGGGTGGGGTAGGCCTAGCAGAGGGGTTCTACCACTGTTTGTACTATATTCTTAAGTAGCCCTTAAAGCTGGCACTACCAATAACAAAAATGGGATTAATAGCATTCTTAAGTTATTTGTGCAATGAGAAAAGAAAATGTAGTAGCATCTAGGTTTTCACAACATGGTGGTTATGCACATCTGTACATGTGCTGACAAAAAGACCACTGTATGCTCTTGCAAAGCACCTGGGGTTCAGTTCCCAGCCCTCACAGGGTGGGTAACAACCATCCATAACTCCGGTTCCAGGGGATTTAACACCCTCTTCTGGTGTCCACGGGCATTGCATGCACATGGTGCACTTATACATATGGAGACAAAACACACACACAAAAATAAATTTTAAAAATCTTTCTAAAACTCCAATATTTAAAAAAAGAACAGAAATTCTAGAGGCTGACAGAGATGTGTCACCGGAAACAGCCCAGGCTCAGAAGGCAGTAGGTCACACTGACCTGTAGCACACACTTGCTGGAGGTGAGTTAGGGAAAGGACAAGGCAGATAAAGCAGGGGGTGAGGAAGGGCAGAGCCCACGGCCCCAGTGAGCTCTAGCAGCACTGTGCAGAGGATGGGTATGGGGGGTCAGCTTTGGTTCCCCAGCAGCTTCTTAGGTCTTAACACCTATGTGGGTGTCAATGGGTTTGGCTCCTTTTAACCCTTCCAAGTAAAGGTTAGTCAGGTAATATAATCATAGTATGGTGCTCTTCCCTAAGAATTACATGGAGAGGTATAGAAAGCAAATAGCAAGGGGCTGGAGGATGTGGTTCACTTGGCAGAGTGCTTGCCTAGCATGCAAAAAACCCTGGGTTTGATCTCTAGCACTATAAAACTGGGCATGGTGGCACATGCCTGTAATCCCAGCAGTTGAGAGACCGAGACAGGAAGGAGAACCAGAAGTTCAAGGTCATCCTTGGCTATATAGGGAGGTGGAGGTCAGGCTGGCTAGAGACTCTGTCTAAAAAGAAAACAATAACATGAGAAGGCAAGCGACAACAGACAATCTTACTTTTTACACAGAAACAAACAAGAGGCACTAGAGTTGGGCAACTGCTAGGGTCCTGTGGACATGACCCTTGCAGACCCTATTTTTGTCCTCTGAGGGATCAAAGGGTTCCTAGAGCTATAGTCTCCCACAATACAGCATCCATGTTAAGCCTCAGATGGGCGGTCACAAGGAGGCCAGCCTTCAATGACAAAAGAGGAAAGGTCGCTGTAGGGCTGCAAGGCCAGGCTCTCCACATAGCACCATGCATGTGTCCACACACTTCTCAGCCCTCTGTGTATATTCACACTGCCCTCCCCAGGAAGCCCAGCACAGCTCCTGGAGGGTGAAGCTCATGACACACACCTGGCTGTACACCTTGGTATTGTTGCATCTAGCCTTTGCAGAAAGTCTTGCCTCACACCTATGCTTAGTCATCCAATCATCACCCAGCATCAGCTGCACTGGAGAATCTGTACAGCTTCTAAAAGACTCACTGGGAGCAGAAGGAAAGGAAAACCATCAAGCCACAGGACAAACTGAGGGTACAGAAGTTGGGGGCCATCGGAGGTCTTACTGTCAATCCAACTACAGAGGATTGACGATCTACAACAAGCAGGGCCCTTGTGCCTCTCCCTCCGGTTGTTCAGGAGCATGGCTGTGGCTCATAGGCACATGTAAGCTGCAGACACTGAAGCAAGTGACATGTCTGCAACCTACAGTTGACAGGAAGTACCAGCCTAGGTAGGCAGAGGTCAGGAGGAAAGATGAAGGCCTCTCTCCTGCCTTTCAAAGGAGACTAGGACAGAAATTATCACTGGCTGACCACTTAACCACATGCAGAGAAATGACACTGCCAAGAAAGACTGGGGCTCTCCCCTGAAATCAGCATCAAAAATAACCTGAATTTTCTTCCCTATATGGTCCTTTATTATCTGTTTATAAAATGTACATGCATTACTAGTATAACTAGCTGAATCATAAAAACAAATTCTTTTATTTATTTTTAGCTTGAGGATATTCCTTCAGTCTAACATGCTACTTGAAAAATCTTGATGGGGGCCATGGGGGCCAGAGAGATAGCTCTGTAGTTAAGAGCACTGGCTGTTCTTGCAGAGGATCCAGATTCAGTTCCCAACATACATATGGCAGCTAACAACTGTCTGTTAACTGCAGTTCTGGGGGATCTGAAGCCCTCTTCTGGCCTCCACAGGCATTGCACACACGGTACACTTACAGTCATGCAGGCAAAACACTCATAAAATAAAAATAAAAATAAATAAAAAATTTACAAACCTGACTGTCCTTTCTCCAACAGTAAAATTTGCAACTTTGAAAATCTGCTTTGGTATTTATAACTTGTTTTTTTACAGTTGCTGATTACAAGCAAGTATATATCCTCTAGTCAGGCCCAGACGATGAGGATGCTCCCCTCCTGTGGCACCTTCCCGTCCTATTTTCCCCATTACAGTCAGAACAGCAATTCATTTGTTGAATGTCTTCCTAAAAGAAAGGCATGCCAGCTCACTGATCTAGTAACGCTGAACGCTAACCCCAGATTCAAGTCAAGCAGGGCTAGATCTCCAGGTGTGTCAGTTCCCTAGCTACTCTCTATGTAGCCTGAGACACCTCAAATATTGTGACATCCAGGATTCATGTTTTCTTTACTTGAGAACCTGGGGATGGCATTGCTGGTCTCTGGCCTCCTGATCCTCATTCTAGTTTCCCAATCAGTAGGGGTGTTTGCATTACTCTCATTCCAAGTCCAAAGCCAGGCAACTAAGAATGCCCCTCATGAATCCCATCCTGATTCCCCTTTAAATCATGAGCCTTCAGTCCTTCCCAGACTGAAAAGCAGGCTTCCAGGCAAGAAAAGAGGGCTTAGAGAGAGCAGTATTTAAGCAGAACCACTGTCATCTGAAGAACAGCTGGCAGTTCACCAGGAAGAGAACCTCATGCTCTTGCCTGAGCTTCTCACGTCACAGAAAGCAGGAATAAACCCATGTGTAGAGCCATAAATGGACAGTACACAGGTAAGTACTCCTGCCTGGAAGGGCAGACACATGAAGGGGAACATGCTGGAACATCCCAAGAGAGAGGTGGAAACTGCCAGCCAGTACTGCCTTTACATCTGGGACAGGGATACAAGCAGGGCAACTTCAGTTCTGATCCAACACAGTAACTTCCTGCAAGACTTGCTTCCATTAGCAACCCTGAGACAGGCCAGGAGAGCACATTTTAGCTGGGATTGAGGCGGGGGGGCAGTGTGGTGCTGCCTGCTGCCCAGATAGTAGGTGTCTGTCTCCTAGGTACCTCTAACTTGGGGATACCTCACTAAGGCCCTACAGACTTGGCGTGACATGCTTCTTAGGCCTTGGTATCATCTCTTGCTGCTGTTTCATTTTTGAGATAAGGTCATACTCTGAAGCCTAGGCTGGCCTCAAAATGCCAGTGCTCCTCCCCAGTGCTGAGATGACAGATGTGCACGATCCAGCCTTATTTTTCATTGTCCTTAATCAGCAGGGTCCAGTACAAGACTAGGGAGTCTTTGAAACTTTTTTTTTTTTTCAGCTTTTTGTCTGTTTTCTATGACTAGAAGCAAAGCCATAGGAAATTCCCTTTCCTCTGGATTCTCAAGAATTTAACACTTGTAAGAAAAAAAAAAAGTTAGGGAAATCCACAATAGAAGTACATTATGACCAGATGGCCAGGAGTCAGGTTGGACCTTGTTCCCCACCCACCTACCAGCGGCCCCCAAAGACTGAAACAGCGTAGGCAGTGGGCATCTTTATGTGCAAAATGGCGCCAGCCACACTTCACTTAGTGGCGCTGTGGGTAAAACGAAAGATAAACCTTCTGGAAGCTACTCTGTTAGCACAAGGACCCTTGTTAAGGATTAATCACACGTCCTCCTCACGGAACATATCTCTATGGATCTCTCCCCTCTTCTCCTGCACTGTGGCATTACAGTATGACACAGATCTGTGAAACATGTACTTTGTGTTTTCTTCTTCTCTATAACACTTAACTCATAGTCACTGAGCCAAATTGGTAGCAGGAGGCTGAGAGAATGCCCCGCATATGTACACTTTGTCCCAGACTGTGCTGAGACCCAGCTCATCTCCTACTGGAGTGGCTAACACTTCCCAGGACACCCCTGCCAGCTCTGTGCAGGGCTGCCATCCTTTGCTCTCACTGACCCGTTTACCCTTCCAGGTGTGGCCTTCTCCCCCCAGAAGCCTCCTAATCAGCTTTCAGTACAGAAAGACCCTAAGCTACATGCCTTCTAACCATTCTCATAAGCACCAGTGACTGGTCTGATGTCTCTGATTGTCTGCGGTCATCTCAGACTGTGACTGGAAGCAGGTAAAGCAGAAAGATGGCATTCTAGATGCTGGCTTCACTGCCTGGTCTGCTGCTATGCAAGGCAAACACCTCTCTGCACCTCGGTCCCTACCCTGGGTAAGCTGAGGGTAAATGCTGCTCTAGGGAGAGTCTAAGGACACACCCAGTCTGACTACTTAGCCTTTACTGGCTTGGATGAGGATACTCACTGAGTTCTCCCTGGGGGTTACATGTGGCCTGATCAGGACTTCTGTGCAGTTCTGACCTAGATGCAGGACAGGTATATGAACTATGAGGTCAGGGACCTTGTCAATTCCCACTGTGTCCCCCATCCAACAAGTAGGTGCTTGGTGGACTTGGGTCCCAAGGCAGTGTCCTATGCTGTGGAAGGGGACGGTGGGGGCAGCAGAGTTCCACTCACATGGGGCATGGAACATGACGAGGACAGAGGAGTGCTCCTTCACAAACTGGTCAAAGTCTTCATCGGTCAGGTGATAAACGGAGCCGCCCTCATCTGCCCAGGGAGTCTCGGGGGCCTGGGGCTGTGGCGGCTGTGGACTGTAAGACCAAAAACAGGCAGAGCTCAGAGCAAGCCCCGGGGCTTGGGCAGCCCTTACAAAATCCAGCCCCCTGGACCTAAAACCCCCACACCAGGACCTTTTACATGCTATAAACTAGATCTAGAGGAGGAGCCATGCATTGAGCAGGCTGGCCCTGCCCATCTCCATCTTCTCCTGAAAGTCCCAGAGAAGTACTTAGCTGACACCCCAGCACGTATGGTGGCTTTTTGCTATTACTCTCTTGACAGCTCAGAACATCTCACGTCCCCCAGGAATTGAGGAGCTTGTTAGCTTTCTCAAGGTATTGCAAACTTCCAGCAAGCTGGCAAGAACAAAGAGCAACAGTGCAGAGTGATCTTTGGGGAAACTGGCTGTCATCCTCAGTGCTGCCCAGGGATAGGAGGAGGAAGAAGCGAGGCCAGAGGTTTGGGGAAAAACTAAACCTGGGTGGGCAAAACGAAGCTGTGAATGGGGGTGCAGGGTGATCACTGAGTAGCCAGAGGGAAGCTAGGCTGGTGATGTCCTTCCTTCCAGAACTTGTGTTCCTGTACTAACCCTTCTAGGAGCTAAGAACAGACATGTCTCCAGAACCCTCATTAGCTCCACCACTTACTGGCTGCATGAACTTCCAGGTGCCTGTTTCCTCCATGAAGAACCACACACTGGTATCTCCAGCTCTGAATGCTATGTGGAGGAAGGCACCCAGCTGACCACCCTTGCTGAGGACAAGGCAGTTGGTGACATAGGATCCCTGTTGCTTTAATGCCAAGCACTTTTAACAAAGCACCTTAACTACAGCTTTGAAAAAACCCTTTAGGATGACAAATGTGAAAAGACAACTATTATTCCCTGTGTGTGAGAGTCTACAGCAGGAAACATTTGAAAGCTTTAGCACTCAGGGCTGGAGAACTCATCAGAGAGAGCAATGTGCTCATACAGTGGGATCTGCCATCTCCCCCCTCCCCTCTCCACAGGCAGAAGCTGGGTTTGGAGCCCCCAGAAGTCGATGTTGGCTCTTTAAAATATTTTATGTATTATTATTTTTATTTTACATGTATGAATGTATTGCTTGTATATATGTAGGTGCACCTGTGTCATGCAGTGTTCGCAGAGGTCAAAAGAGGGTGTCAGATTTCCAGGAACTGGAGTTACAATTTGTTGTTAGCTACCATGCGAGTGCTGGGATTTAAACCCAGGTCTTCTGCAAAAGCAGTCAGTGCTCTTAATTCCTGAGCTATCTCTCCAGCCTCCTATGTTGGCTCTTTAAACTGGGCCACACTGAGAGCCACAGTCTCCTCAGTCCCAAAGCACAGAAAGTGGCAAAGCATTTGGTCCATGCATATTCAATGTATGTGGCAATGGTTGCAAATTCAACTTTGAAGAATCACCAGCTAGACACTAGTTCTCAGACAACAGCATGGAATCCAGCTTCTTGTGTCTGGCTCAAGCCACTAACCTCTCTCACCCCACCATCAATCACACTACACAATTTATCTTTACAGTATACCTGTACTTATACAAAGTTATGTATGTGCCAAAATATCTAAAGCAGGTGATGTGCCATGGTAGAGACCAGAGGCCAGCCAGTGTACACACATAGGAGCAGGTTAGGTGTACTGTGGCCCATCTCCACAGTGGAGGGCTAAGTGCTGCAGGAAGAATGACTCTACACAGCAGGGCAGACAAACTACTGGAAATGCACACAACAATCTATAATCTATAAATAAAAGGAAGAAATAGGTAGAAGTAAGGTTTTTCAATGTATACTTTAAGTTTTTAAAAATTATGTGAATATAATCTATTAAAAATCAAAGCAATTAAAAAACACAAAAGCATCAATATAAGATACAAAAGCTATGCCTTTGCAGGGGCACAAGAAAAAGCCTGAGAAGTTTCTAGTTAAGCACAGAGAATATACTCTAACACCATGAAACAGCAGTACAAGAGTTGTTTGTTCATTTGTTTAACTACAACTGTACTAAAACAAAGCAACAGGGCAGACAAAGCAGAGAAAAAGAGACCAGTACAACTTCAGGAGCTAGAAAACCAACATAGCAATGAGAGGCAGGCCTTGAAGTAGGGCTGCAGCTGGACTGAAAAATGGGGTATGACTGAAAACTGATCCTGGGGAATACCCACTCGCACGCTGGGATAGTCGGGGAACTACTTTCCAGGAAGCACTGCAGGAAGATCACAGTGGTAAAAGAATGTATGGGAGAGAAGGAATGAGCAGAAAGTCAGTGCTCAAAGCACCAAGTGATCCTTTTTATTATCTGCCTCTCCAGGCAGCAAGCTCCCTGCAGACTGGGGTGCCCTCCTGCCTCTCTATGTCTTGTATCTAACACACAGCAGACATCCAACATGTTTGCTGAGTGGAGAAATGTGGTTAAAGGATCTGAAGCTGTCTAATTTGGAGAGAACACTGGCTTTTTAAAAAAATTCAGACTGTTTTGAAAAGAGAAATGATTCATTTTCTGTGGCTCCGAAGAGGAGAACTAACGACAACCAGAAGTTTCAGAACCCTCATGCTGGTGGTGTCAGCACATGCCTTTAATCCTAGTACTCAGGAAGCAGAGGCAGGTGGATCTCTTCGGGTTCCAGGTAAGCTTGGTCTACTAACTAGCTCCAGGCCAGCCAGGGCTACACAGTGAGACCCCTGTCTCAAAACCAAACCAAAACAAAACACAAAGACAAAAAAACCTCACCAGAAAAAGAAACTTCATTGTAGCCTAAGACTATTCTACCTTCAGCTGGCCAGGGCACGGACAGTAGAACTGGGAGAAAAAGAGCCTGGACCATGCCACGCCCTCAACCCAACCATAGGAGCCTAGGTAAGCAAGCGCAACTTGAAATATCTGCCGAGCAGTGTACTTGCACAGCTTTCTTTAGCAACTTCTTAGGTTCACCTAAACAATGGGTATCAGATGCTTTGCAAATTTACAAAGGAATACTCAAATCTTCCTAGATATCATGCATAACTCATCCTCAAAATGAGGCAATGGGCTGGAGCAATGACTCAGTGGGTAAGAGTATTTGGTATGCAAGCATGAAGACTTGAGTTCAAATTCCCAGAGCCCATATAAAAAGCTAGGCATTGTCACTTGTGCCTAACCCAGCACTATGGGGGAAGGACACAAGAGGATCACTGGGGCTTGTTAGCTGCCAGCCTAGCTCTAGTTCAGCAAGAAACCCTGTCTCAAGGGAATAAAGGAGGAGGTAGTAGAGCAATACACTCAATGTACTTGCCTGGTCTCTGCATGAGTACATGAGCGTACACACCCACATACTCAGAGACACAGACACAGACAGACAGACAGACAGACAGACAGACAGACACACACACACACACACACACACACACACACACACACATGAGTTAAAAAACAAAAGCAAACAATGAGGTAAAGGACCCTGGAGGGGGAGATTGCTAAAGCAGGTTTGCTGACTATTCAGCACCTGTCCAGGCCTCCGCTGCTTTATGTGCTCTGCAGATTAGAGAGAACATCTGTCCTGGCCTCTCTGGTACTGGGAAGGCCACCCATCAGTTCCTCATCTCAGGGAGGGATGTGGGTCACAGACAGAAATATGCAACTCAGAGCAGCATGAGGCAAGAATACTTGGCATCTATTAATTCAGTTTACCTCTGCTTGATACACACAGGCAGTACTGTGCAGCTGGGCCAAAATGAACTGCTGTTTATGCACCACTCTACCTGCCTGCTGCCCCCAACCAGAAGGAATAGTTTTATTAGAAGGCTTTATCAGAAGGTCACTACGCTCAGTGTGTCTACTCTAGAGCCCTCACACCCACAAACGCCAGGGCCGACTCTCTCTAGGGAGGGCAGGCTTTCGCTTCTCTCTGGGGCTTTATAATCACTGGGAGAATCAGCCAGGATGGATGCACCCTGGTCCTTCCACTCTTGCCTGCACAGACACTCCACAAGCAGCTCAGGGCCAGGGCAACAGGAAAGATGAGGTTTTCTACTTCCTGCTAGGATTGGGGTAAAAGCTTAAATTAAATGAGAGGAGGAGAAACCACACATGGAGCTGGGTACATAACAGTGGGAAAATCTAGAAGGATATTCACCCAAATAACTTTGGGTAATGGGGCACAGGAGGAGGTTTTCTCTACATTTTAAAAGTTTTTCTACAATAAAAATATCATAACTTGAAAATCCTTAGAATCAGAAAAAGTTTTAAAAAATTAAGATAGCTGGCAACATAGTGACATGGCTAACTCTTGCTGGAGCCTGAGGTCAGGCAGCTTATTGGACATCCTGTAAGAAAAGCCAGACTGTTTCTGCTCCCATTCTGCTGGGGGGGGGGCTGCAGTGTGCTCACAGCTAGTTGGAGGGTCTGCAGGGAGCCCCAGGTTCCCCACCTTTCCTTCCCAGCAGTCCCCATCTCCCTTCTCATCTTGGAGATTACAGATGCACTGGTGGCTGGCAGCAGGGGCTTCTTCCCAATCTGAGGAGACGGGGGAGGGAGGAGGTAGAAAGAGGAGAGGCAGGGCTGGGGACAGTGCTCCACAGCAAGCAGTTGTGAGCTGGGTACCAGGTCAGCAGGGGAGCCAATGGGTGCAGAGAAGCTAAGAGGCTGGGGGACAGGTGGCAGGCTCCTATGGGGAGATAACACCTGTCACAGAAACTCCACTGATGTGTCATCTACCTTCTGTCCACCCTCCCACCACTCCCCACCGCCACCCAGGGGCTAACAGGCTACTCTGAATGCTGTTTTTGCCCCCAAACCAAACCTTGTCCTTCTAAAGAGATGAAGGTGTTATGTTAGGGTGTTTCGAAACCAGAAGAAGTTAGAGAAGGGGGAGGGAGGCAGAAAGATTTTATGCTCTGGTGACAAATGAAATTGCTATTTGTTGAAACTTTCTCCCATAGTGGAGCAAGATATGTCTGGCTAAAGGAGAGTACACGCTTATTTCAAATGAAAAAGGAAAACAGGGATGTGAAGGCCCAGGTTAAGACTGGGAGCACGTGGTAATGGGGAATGGCCTTCCCAGGCAGGGACTGAAAACAAGACAGTCGATGGGCACAGAGATGTGAAAAAGCTTCCAAGAAATCAAAGTCTCTGTGCAAACACAGGCTGCACTGGTATTGCTTCTCCAGGGTCCTGGGAGCAGGGAGAGTAGAAGACAGGTTTTCAACCTTTGGAAATCCAATAGCATGTTTCTTAGAGTTTTGCTTTTTTAATCCAACATTTATCCTTTTTGCAATTTCTGAAAATATACATTCTGAACTGCTATGTCTCTGGATAACTAATTCTTTGACCCTAGGGTTTGTTCTCTGGGTCCCTAAGGTAGAGATTCCAATATATATTAATGAGCTGGCAACTGGAGGGGTTGAGGCTGAAGTTCTGTGCAGAACTCAAGATGGAGCTGAGTGGGAACATAGGGGCTTCTGGGGAATGAGGTCAGTGGTCCTGCTACCTATAATTGGCTCTATGGCACTGGAAAGTTGCTCCCCCTGCCTCAGTTAATGCAATCGTAAATCAAGGATCACTGACTTCCTGTTAGTGCTACTGTGAGTACTGGATAAGAAATTGTCAAATGCCTACAATGGTGTCAGCCCCAAAATGTGAGCCGTTATTCTCAGACATATGTACAAATAGCCACACATGACAACAGGGAGAGCACTGAGGAGAGGACACTGAGCCACTGGAAAGGCTCCGGTGAGGTTGGGTGGAGTGGAACACTGAGTTGGACGATGGACAGGAAACAGCAGCAGGCCTAGTCCACATACGTACAGGTGAGGGGTAGGGCCAGAAGAACTGTGGGATTTCATGTTCCAGGGATCTAATAACATTACAAAGCAGGGTATGGGGGTGCTGAGGTGCTTGGAGAGGCAAAGGCTTTAGAATGTTTCTGAGTAGCTTCACAGCACCTAATAGTGTTGTATTGGAAAAAGCATTCAAGTGACAATCTTATTTTTATCTGAGACCTCCATGGAACTCTCTTAAACCTGATATCCTGGGTGAGAAATACTTCTGTCCCTCAGACAGACAGTGTTTGTTTTGGGGGAGGAGGTGGATTCTATTTAAAATGTGGGAAGATTTCAGAAAACTCTAGACTATGCCAAGAGAGCTGCCAGGTTAGGCAGCCCCTCTCCAGCTCCGTGCCATGCAAAAGGGAAGGAGTGGATGGACTCCAGACAGGTCCGATCACCACAGACAGGTCTACAACTCAGCAAATCCTCATAGCTCCTGTGCCCCTATCACAGATCCCCATGCTAATCTAGACTCTAGCAGGAACCAGCCATACAGGATATAACAGTCTTTTACCTTCCTCACCCTTTTCCCAGCCTAGCCTTGCAACTGAGGGGCTGTCCTCAGCCCAGCAGATGTTCCCCATCCCCAATGTACCCAGATACAAACACCTGACTTACTTCTTCAGCCAGTCCACAATATCCTCAGCAGTGGACCCGTAGTTTTCATACTGGAATAGAAACCGTCCTTTCCTGTGAAATGTGGAAAGACAAAGTGGCTCAGCTAGGGACACCAATGCCAAAGGGAGGAACTAGGCTTAGAAGGGAAGCACAGACTTACTCAAAATAGCAGATGGTAGGGTAGCCACGAACATTGTACTCTTCCCTGATGTTTTCAAACTCAGAGGGGTAGATGTTCATCCCAGCCAACACCTGAGAGAAAGGAGAAAAGGTTTGTCCACCACTGGCACGCATCCATGTGCAGTCTAGCCAAGTGTCACACCAGAAGATGCGTGGGACAAAGTCTTGCAGCCTGCTGTGCAATCAGGGCTGTCAGGAAACAAGACTGTCTGAGCCAGCCCAAATAATGATGGAGAGCTCTAGAAAAGTCCACCTGGACCTAAGTGCTGCCTTCCTGATAGCGGTTTCCTTCAGTGAGCCACACAAGAAGGTTCATCCTGAGCAAAGCAGAGTTCTGAGGGCTGAGTTCAAGAGGGCTGGGAACAGAGCCACAGCCACAAGTATACTATGCTTTTTTCTCTGCTCATGTCAACTTAGGCTGAATTTTCTAAGTGGTAGAATCAGTGGCTTCTGAACATATTAAGCCTTTGTATAAGGGCCGTGGATGTCTTCCTGAATTCCTCATGGCCTGTTCTCAGGTGTCCACCTAGGCTTGATGTAGTGTGCTCAGACTATAACTCAGATGGACCTAAGGAGACCGTTTCTCATATATATAAGAAGTGATGTGTCTGCAGCCCTGCCTACCTCTCCTCCTCTAGGCCTTGCCTCATGTCATTTCTTATATTCACCCTGGTTTGATCAAAATCATAAAAGTCTGACAAAGTTCTAGGTCTGGGGCCCATATGGCCAAAGCCCCTGAATCAGAAAATTATGTTGTTGCCACATGGCTGAGTACTAAGAACAACCTAGAATGCAGTATCTCCTGTGACATCCTTCCTACAACTCTACCTTTCTCCCTGGGGCTGGATTAGGCACCGGTACTTTGAATCTATTCTCATGACAGACTGCAACTAGAAAGGCCAGACACAGGGAAACTGCTCACAGAATAGGACAGCACAGAGGTGAAGGGAAGGACACACAGAAAGAGAATAAGGAAAACACGGACCTTGGTGGGCAATGAACATGATCCTGAGGTCTGCTTCTACTTGTTAGTCATGTGGCCTTTTGAAGTTACTCCCTCTCTGAGGTTGTTTGGAAGATGTGGGCGATGTGACCACTGAAGGGCTCTTAAGAGAACCAAGTGAGACGATCTAGATCAAAGGTTTTAAGAACGGAACTGATGCTGAGTGACTGTCAAGGTCTCTAGCCTATCTACCTGTGTCTCTAGCTTATCTACCCCCAGAAGCATCTCAGTGTGTCTTTCCAAATGCTTTAAGTACCTAGCATAATTAGCCTGGCATACAGCAGGCATATAATAAATGCTTGCTATACCATCAGGGCTTTCCCCATCCCTTTGTGGATGTCGCAAGAAAATGGGGGGTGGGGGGGAGTCAGAAAGCGAAATGTCTAGAAATTCTGGAGCCCTCTAAAAGCTACTCTGCTCATCCTCCAGACTGATTCAGTCTGTTCCAGTAACAATTTATCTACTTGAAAGTTCTCTGTTCCTGTCTAATTGATCTCCCTCGAATCACTGCACATTCGCCACAAGAGTAATTGTGCACATCCTCTTCTTTCATTACATCACTTCTCTGCACCAAACTTTTCAATTCCATCTAGTACAGGCGAAAATCCAACTCCAAACTCAGTCCATATGGTCTCTGTCTCATTTATGAATCTGTCTTACAAAACTCTTAATTGTACACCTGCTAGGGTCTGGATTTTTGTATTCACCAAGGAGGGAGACAGTCTGAGATTTCTGCCTAGGAAGGAAGTTGAATCATCTGCCTTCTCAGACACCTTGCAGAGCAAGGAGCATCCGCCCCCAGTGGCTATGACTATGCACAGTGGGCTCTGGACAGACCCCTGGCTGCAGTCCTGGATCCCTACCTAGCAGGTACATTTCCTTTATTCCATAAGTCAAGGCTCAGCTGCCTCTCTTATCCTCAGTTTCCTCATGTGCTTTGATGATTAAAGGAGACAGCACAAAGTCTGTTTAAACTCAAGATGAATTAGCTATTTTTGTCACTACTAAAGAGTCTCCACCATCTTCGCATTTCTAGAGCACAGTGTCCTTGTTTCTGGTCCCTCACTTTGGTTTCTGATCCCTTGCTGAAGATGTCTATACCTTACCACTGAAGACTCATTCATTTTTTGAGGCAAATCAGTCTCATCTCCCTGGGTAGTCTTTCCAAACCACCTATGCTTGGGGTGCCCCTAAATCTCAAATTTCTGTTAGCAAGTGCTGACAGTGCCGCTTTGGGAATACCAACTAATTAATGAGATATTAATGAGACGGACAAAGATTTCAGAAGGAGAAATTAAGAAAGGTCTACAGAAAGATGTGCCCCACCCCCAAAGGACAGCATTTCTGTCTAAATGGACTGGGAGAAGGCTTGTAGCAGGATAGCCAGAGTCACTATAGAAAAGGGCTTATCTGTGCAAGTTTGACTCCATTCAAGGGTGATAGAGAACTACTAAGGTTAAAGTCCAATACCATCACCACCCCATGGCCATTCTTTGAAATACAGACATCACTCAGTATCCATGGCAGACTGGAAACACCACCAGGATACCAACCTCATGGGATAGTCATCTTTTCTATGAAATGGTGCAGCATTTGCTTAAAACCTACACATATTCTCCTACATGCTTCAAATAATCTCTATGCTATTCTAAAACAAAGGACAATGTGGATCCTGCATAAATAACTGTGACAATGTATGACTTATGGAATAAAGACAAGAAAAAGTTTGTACAAGTCAGCAGAGAAGCATTCATTTTCCTAAATATTTCTGATCTGCTGTTGGTTGAATCCACAGATGCAGAATCTGAAAATATATAGGGCTGACATACAGGACAGGACAGGCTGTCAGGGGAAAGCTGTGGGCCAGGGAGACAAGTCAGTAGCTTTCAAGAAGTACCTAAGTAGCTAGGCAGCGCTTGGTTCAAGATGGTGGAGGAAGACAAGATGATGGATGTGAGGAGCGATGTTTGCAGAGACCCAAGTACAAGACATGAAGCTAAGGAGCTGGGACAACTTGGCAAGGGCCTCAAGGAAGGCTAGCAGTCTGCTAGATGGAGAGATGCTGAGGTTTATTCTAAACACCTTGCATTTGGACAAAGGAGGTAATTGAGACTGTCATGTAAGCTATCAGATGTGGTACTGGAGCTTAGGGGATGAACTGAAGCTGAAGCAAAGGGCATAAAGATCACCAGAGGACAGACTGTAACAAGACAAGGAAAGCACTGTGCCAGGCCTGTGTTCTGTACATTAAAAAGAGAACACAGGCATTGAGGGTGCTCCCTCCTAGTGAGCCTGAAAACTGGATTTAGAACAGCTGAGAGGAGGTAGAGGTCATCCATATCTATCAGGTACTCTGTAGTTTACACATCTTCTCCTCACAACCCAGCAGACCAGCATGATCATCTCCATTTTACAGATGGAGCAATGGAGGCTCTAAGGCTGAGCAGCTTGCCCAAGAACTCCTAGCCAGGCAGTGAGAGTCAGCACCAAGCCTGAACTGTCGCCAGGCCAATTCCACTTCAGTTTTTATACTCACTCTGGTTCATTGTGACTGATGTTAACAAGAGACTAGCAATGCTCAGAGGACCAGTGTGACTATGGATGAGGTAGCAAGGCTGAGAAGGGGAGCAGACAAGGCAGGGATCTTGTGCAATGCTGTTGAATCAGGGAGCAGCTCGATTGCTGACAAGGATTAGCTAGCAGCAGGAAGAACAGATACTGATGATTCACCAGGCATCAGTGACAACACCCAAGAGGCAGATCTGAGTTTGGAAAATGGCAAAGTCCATATATCCCTGACCTGGTCTGATTTTTTTGTATGACATCATCAAGTTGGATACCTCCCAAGCCCTGTAGAAGAGGAAAAGTTCTGACCCTCGCCACAGATGCAGCCAGCCAAAAAGGGCTCAAAGATGACAGAGACGAAGAGAAGGCTAGAGGCCCTAAGCCAGCTAGATTTCAGTAGTAGAGAGGGCTAGTTTTTGATTCCTGGGGAATAGGGCCCATATGTCAGTCCCACTGTTCTCTGTGTACAAAAACAGAAAGCAGTCAACACCTCTGGGTTGCCCAGCCCTCCAGCCCTGTCCCTGGCTTCTGGAGAGTTGCCAGTGCACCGTGGAGCCTCACCCCGGAAACCAGGGCTCTTCTTTTAAGTAGCTGGAGAAGGGACAGACAGTGCAGATGCTCTGGGCAGAGGTAACTTACACTTGGCCTTCACTGTTTAATTCAAGGACAAGATTCCTGCCTCTTTTATAAGTCATTGAGGGAATGGGAATGGGTACCTTTTATAGCTCTAAACAGGGGCCTAGGAAGAATAGTAGGTCCTCTGAACACAAGGGCTATCTCTTCAGGGCCAAGTTTGTAAAACAGCCTGGTATAAGCCTTTGGCCAAGGGAAAAATCCCCATCCCACAAGCATCCTTTCCACTGTGTCTCTGACCTTAATAACTAATAATCTGAATTCCTTTACAAAGAGGGAAGATCACTCTAGATAAACCTAAAATAAAACATATCTGGGCTGATGTACCCCCTCACTCCCTCAGTCATCAGGACAGACTGGGTATCTTTTATGAGCATGGCCCCATTCTGAAGAAACAGACTTGACTTCAACACTGTGCCCAGAAAGCCCACAGATCATAACTGTGATCAAAGTGATATGGCACAAAAGCAAAGATGGGCAGACCTGGTATGTGTGACAGAGACAGGGTCTGTAGCAGTATGGGAGGGCCCTAGAAGAATACTGAGATGGGCAGTTGTGGCATTACTGAGAATGGTCCATGAGGTACATGTGACTGAGGCCAGCTCTGATAATTCACAGTCTGATTCGAGGCTTGAACTATTTATTTGACAGTTCCACAGAGTCTGGAAGTAGAGCTGAGGAGTTTTCAAAGTATGCAAGGGCACAGGAAGGGAGAACATGATGAGTAATTAAGTCTTTTCTCCAGGCTAAATAATCTTAATATATGGTATCTATTGAGGTCCCCAAAATGTGCAGTGAAATTTCCCCAGAGTAATGTATACGTACCTCAAGGCCAAACGTCTTCAGGCAAGCTACTAAAAATTCATGAGTGAAAAACAAGTAAGACCTTGGTGTTGGCCCAGAATGAGGTCAAAAGAGAAAGCATTGGTTCTTTAAGCCAAGCACGCAGCTACATAGTGGGGCCATTCCCACATCTAGGTGCTATCACTTACATTAAGTTGACTTCAAGCTAATCATCATTTAATTTGGTGCATAAAGATTCATGACGCTGTTTGGAGACCTCGGATCTCTCTCATAATGGGACTTGGGCCAAACTCATTGAGATGGCTCCTCTGATAACCTTCTATGAGTAGGTGTATAGATTTTCCATGCTCCCGAGAGCAGACAGATGTTTTTCTGCTGCTACCAAAATAGAGCAAAAACACTTCTGCTACTTACAGTAAGTGTAGAAATGGACAAATATATACATAAAATAATTCAAAACAGGATCTCAAGGAGATATCTGCACACCCATGTTTATAGCAGCAGTATCTGTAACAGTCAAGGAATGGAAGCAGATCAAATGTCTATTGACTGCTAAATGGATATAAATGGACAAGAAGTACAAGACAGATAGACACACACATATATGCGTGCACACACACATACACATACACATATATGTAGACACACCGGTGGGCTACTCAACCTTAAAAAAAAATGTGTCACATGCTACAACATGAATGGACCTAGAGGAAATTATGTTAGAGGGATCTAACATTGTCAAAATCATAGGAATGTGTATATCAAGGCTAAGGTTTGGGTACGAAGGAGAAATTGACGCTGAGTACAAGGTTCCAGTTTTGTAAAATGAATAACATCTGGAAATCTGCTTCACAACAATGTAAAGATACTTTGCACAGCTGAACTACACACTGAAAGGTAGCTGAGATATTCAGTGTGATAGTGTTGTGTTCCTGACTCAACTTAAGAAATGGCCAGATAGATGGTAGAGAAGAAAACACTTGGCAGAATGGAGGAAATGCAAACAGCAGGAGCCCATAGTGACCAACCTCAGTCCAACTTCTGCCTCTGTGCTGAGCACCTCCCTGCCC